CAGAATTAAAAATCATACCAAATTTTTTTCTTATTCCTTATGACTCCCATAACATAAATTCACTTGAATTTTTAATTTTTGTTAATTTGGTTAATAATGACAAGCTGTCTCCATTTACCCTGAGTTTTCAAATTTTTGGCGTAAATGGGGACAGCTTGCCATTATTAACCAAATTGATAAAAATCAAAAATTCCAGTGAATTTCTGTTATAGGAGTCATAAGGAATAAGAAAAATATTTGGTATGATTTTTAAGTCTGTTTTCTTTGAAATGCGAAACAAAATACTGAAACAGTTTGATTTTGATTTTCAAGTTTTTATGCATTGAGCGATAACTTTTTTTATCTTACTGACAATTGTCAAGATATTGAACTTAATTTTAAAACTGTAAATTAAACTCAAAAACCTCTTGTCCCCATTTACCCCAACTGACCCTAATTGTTTATAATTTCATATAACTTTATTCAATTTCTGTTTATTATTCAAAAATCTTGCAGAATTTAAAGAAAGCCCTGCCAAGTTGAAGTATGAACTTTTTGTAATCATAAAATGAAAACTTTGCTTCCCCATGGAGATTTTTTGTGATCAATTTATGGTAACTTATTTGGTATAATAATTTTAAGGTGTTAAGGCAGGTCAAAGTCGAAGCAATTTTTATATAGAACTTAAGGGATTAGTATCACATCTTTTTTCAAGAAAATCGATTTTCTAAAAACTGCATTTTCTTGCAGTAGATATATGTAGAAATTCTATGGAAACTATTATTTTTGTTAGAACTTCGGTAAAATATCGAAAAACGGGGTACAATGTATGCTTTATAAATATATATATCTATATAAATATAAATATATATCATATTACACATATATATATGTATATAAAAGCATATATACATTTATATAATGTTTCCTGTCGTGTAAGGGGGTATTTTCTTTTTAAAGGACATGTTTTAGTAATTTCGATTTTTCTTAAAACAACTTTTTTTGACCTGGCGGACATCATGAAAGAAAAACTATTGCACCGATTAAGCTCAAATTTTTATGGCTTATTCTACACATATATCGCTATCGTCGGAACTAGAATCATAATTTTTCATTAATAATTAACCATTTTTTTAAACAATTTAAGTTGAAAAAACAATGTTAAAAATTAAAAAAGTCCGCCATTTTGTTTTTTTATCGAAAATATAGTTGATTGTAGTTCCGACGATAGCGACGATCTTACTTTTTAATAAATAATAGTTTTTTATAAATTTAATAATTAATAAATAGTTTGAAAATGGGAAAATTGTCTAATTTTGTGTGGAAACCTTTCCGGTGTTATAATCGCTCCAAAAACTAAAAAAAATTTCTTGATATATGGCAAGGCGCAGAATTTCATCAGCTTTCCAACCATCTAAGTTTCAAGTCTCTAAGTTTCTTCTAACTCAAAATATCAAGTTCTAAAGTCGGCATCAAATTTCGACACAGCGCACGTCGGTCGTACCGACAATTTCCGACGGTACTGTATATGTAGGCCATTTTTGGAAAGACAAGGATAAATTAATTTTATTATAAATAATAATTAAAATTGTTTATTACTAATTAAACAATAAATTGTTGTTTATTTACTTTTTTAAAAAAAAACATACAAAAATGCAGTTTTTTCCTAATTTTGCTATTTGCAAATTTCAAAGTTGTGAAAAATACTTGTTTAAAAATTGAATTATTCTTCAATTTTTTAAATAAATAATTATTTAATACTTCTTATGTTTTTTTCAAAAAACACCTGAAAAAAACAGTTTTTTCCTAATTTTGAAATTTACCAATTTAAAAATTGTGAAACGTAATATTTAAAAATAGAATTAGTTTTCAATTTTTAAAATCAATAATTATCCTTTTTTATTAAAAAAACGTATAAATTGCATTTTTCAAAAAGCACTTTTAAAAAGCAGTTTTTGGAGAATTTTTCAAATTACTTATCTCAATGTTGTAAAAAATAATGGCTAAAAAGCAGATTATTCTTCAATTTTTTAAATAAATAATTATTGTTTTCCATATAATTTTTTCAAAAAGTACATATAAAAATGCAATTTTTTGACAATTTTTAGGGTTCCGTACTCGGTTCGGAACCCTATTAATATCGGTTTTTTTGAAATCGTGTACCCCCCCCCCCCTAGCGGCCACATAAATTTATCTGGAGGGCTGAAAATTAGTACACATATGTATTTTCGCGTGTAGATTACAGGAAAATTATAGCGAACTTGATTGGAATTGATTAACATAGCGTTGTCAAGGAAAAACCATGAATTTTTACGAAAAATGCCTAAAAATGACTATGTACCCCCCCCTAGCGGCCACATCTTTTGACATAAAGAGCTCAAATTTGACACACTTACGTATTTTTACGTGAAAATTACAGGAAAATTATAGCGAACTTGATTCGGATTAATTTACATAGCGTTGTCAAGGAAAAATCAAAAATTTCGAAAAAAATGATTTATTCTCCCTAGCGCACACAATATTCAATCCAGACTGTTCATACTTGCTGTAAAACTCAATTTTTGCGTGAAAAATACAGGGAAAAAATGTAAGCGCGATTGGAGTTGATGATCAATTTTTATCAAATTTTTGAAGAAAAATGATAAATTTCAGAAAAAAATGTATTTTTCCGCAAAAAACGAAAAAAGTTTTTCTACAGTGATTCAAATTTATATATTTTGACGTATTTTTACGTGTAGATTACAAAAAAAATATAGCGAGGATGATTGGAGTTGATTTTTCTGGAATTAATAAACAAATTTTATTTTTTAGATAACTTTCGATTTTTCCTTGACAAGCAGCTACTAGCCTTATATCAATATCTTAAGTTTTATCTCTTTTTGACTTAGAAAGATAAAATTTAATATTCAATATATTTTTAAAATGTAAATACAATAAAAATATTGCGAGTTGAAATAAAATTATGTTTCTTATATTTTTTTAGTAAAATATTTTTTAAAAAATAAAATCGGACAAGTGCGAGTTACACTCGCACTGAAATCGAGGGTTCCGTACTCGAAGCGAACTTATTTGGTATAAAAACAAATGTTTAAAAAATATGTGTTGTATGACAACTAATATAAGTGATACGAAGAGGAACAATTTTCTTGAATTTTACAAAATTGTTCCTTTTTGTATCACTTATAATAGTTGTCATACAACACATATTTTTTAAACATTTGTTTTTATACCAAATAAGTTCGCTTCGAGTACGGAACCCTCGATTTCAGTGCGAGTGTAACTCGCACTTGTCCGATTTTTTAATTTGCTATTCTCAATATTGTAAAAAAAGGAGATTAAATTTCAAATTGTATTTCAATTTTTTAAATAATTAATTGTTGTTTTTTATCTTTTTTTCAAAGAAGAACATATAAAATAGCATGTTTTTTAGAATTTTTTAAATTACTCATCTCAATGTTGTACAAAAGGTTGAAAATCCAATTATTTTCAATTTTTTAAATAAATAATTATTGTTTTTTTATGTACTTTTTTCAAAAAGCACATATAAAAAGGCAATTTTTTGAGAATTTTTTAAATTACTCATCTCAATGTTGTAAAAAAGGTTGAAAATTTAATCATTTTGCAATTTTAAAACAAAAAAATAATTATTTAGTTGAAAAATTGAAAAATAAATTGGTTTTTATTATAATTTAATTTTCCAATTTTTATCCTGGTATTTCCAAAAATGGCAAAATTTTGAATTTTCCGCACATAACAGACAGAGTCTATGTTATTCTGAACATTTTCCAAAAGGTTTTTTTAAAAAATATTCAAAATTGTGCTTTTCATATACCTGAGAAGTTTGCGTGTCATGCACCATGATTTGTGACGTCACGAAGGTTCAAATGCTCTTAAGCCAGATCTTTTTCATGATCATATTCATTTACAACTTGCAGCACATATTAGTGTAATGTTGCGCTATTTTCTGCTTTGATTTTTTAAAGTTATGTCAGTGAGAGATTTTAATGAAGCTTTAATGGAACATGACTATGGATATGACGAAACCAGATCTTCAAAAATATTGGAATAGCACTTACGATCAGGTGGAAATCTTCATCAAACTGGTGCTCAGATGTGGATTTTAGCTTGGGCTTTGCCATTCAATGTAGGTCCTAAAATTGATATCTTTTCAGAACACTGGACAAATTTCTGGAATTTACTCCACATTTCCAACATTTTAATGTCTCAAGAGATATCAGATGGTTTGACTGAAAATTTATTTTTTCTCATCGATCAATATCTTTCTAATTCTTTGGAATTGTACGAAGAAGAGCATTTGGTCCCACGACAGCAATATTTAGTTCATACCCCCAATAAAATGAATAAATATGGTCACTTTTATCAATTTATCACGTTTCGTCCGGAAGACAAACATCAGATTTTCAAAGAAATGATGAGAAAATTAAAATGTTTCAAAAATCCTGCTCTTACGTCTGAAACACAACATGAGTTGCAACAAGTTCAAGTTTGATCAAACCCAATGAACAAGGTTCAGTTAAAATTAAATCGAAATTAAATGTGAATTATCACAATTTATTTCCCAAAAATCTGAACGTTGTGCATACAGTGCCGTGGATTACGATTCATGGTGTAACCTACAAATCAAAAAAATGTTACGTTTTGCTAAATTGTAATAATGATGCTCCTAATTTTGGAGTCCTTGAAGAGATCGTACTTATTGATAATAATCCGACATTCATTTGCAGACTGGTTTCGACGTTAGAAAAAGAAATGCATTTAAATTCATTCGGAAGTGTTGGAAATATTTATTAAAAAAGATTTTCAGAAATTTCATTTTATAAAGACGAAGACAAATATAATCATCAATTTCTATTACGCTCAATATTTCCATTCCAGATTAAAAAAATAATCAGATTAAGTCATGAATATCGATTTAAATAATTACAAGCGAGGCGCTTGTACAGCAGTTGGTTGTGTCAATTTTCATATTTATTCACAAATGAAACAAATTTTGCTTTCAGAAACTGAACAGGAAAAAACTTATTTACCAGATGTTGTTGGAAGTGATGAAATTTCAAGTACACAAGAACTTATCCTAGAAGGCATTAATGCAGTGAGTAGGTTATATTGTTTTAATAACTTTTATATTTTAACTAAATTATTAATTTTAAAAATTAAACTGAACTAAACTGAATAATTTCTATAAAATTTTCAGATAATATATGAAGTGAACAACGAAGGACGATTAGTTCCCCTTGTTGGAAGAAAAGAAGTTGACTACACAGAAGCTCAAATATCAAATCCCCAAAAAAATCTATTTCAATCAGAGCAATTATTTTCCCATCCACAGACTCAACCACAATGTTTACGGTCTCACACCAACAGATTGGACGAAATAATTTCACGTTTATCTCGAGTAAGCTATTTAATTTATGTACTACATTGTTAAAGTAGGGCTCGGATCGACTTTTAAGCTAAAAAAAATCTCCCGAGTCACATAAGTTTACAAAAAAGGCACAAACACTTTCTATTTGAAAGAATTTCTTTAATTTTTTGAAATTGTATCGGTAAACTTTAACTGCTCTCTTTTTAAGGAAAAAAATTTAGTTTCATATCGTTTCGCAGATAATATTAAATATAAAATTTTTTATGTCTATCCTAATGAAGTTACAAAGAAGTAGGTAAAACTGAGCTCTGGACAATTTGTAGAAATCAGTTTTTCTTCTCCATTTAAAATATAAATAAAAAAATACTCGAAAAATCTGGAAAAAAGTCATTTAATCCGAGCTCTATTGAAACCAAAATTAATTATTTTTATTTTAGACAGATTTGTACCACTTTTGTGTTCCTTCACGCCTTCCCGAAGGCACTGAAAACAAATTAACGAAGAAGGCCAGTCTGATAATAAAGAATATTATTATCATTCATTTTGAATATCATTCATAATGAATGATTTAGTAAGTAAAATGATCTTCAACAATATATTTCACAAAACCATCATAATTTATGATTAATAATAATATCAATTCTAAAAGTTTTGAATTTCGAGAATTTTATTTTTAAATCAAATTTTAATTTTGGAATCCATTTTTTGAAGTTGACTTATGAATAAAAAATTTCAATTTTTTATCAAAGTTTGTTTTTACTTATTTATTTACGAACATTTTTTTAAACTTAATTGTTTTGCCATACGAAGAGTTTACATAAAAAATTTAGGAAATTGACAAATTAATCAGGATCGATTAAAATTTTGACTTAATTATAAAATGTTTTATTACATAATTATTTCTTTATGTTGTACACTACCGTCCGAAATTGTGCGAACGCTTACACCGCGAGTCATTGAAAAACATACTCGCGTGAAAATAAAGATAACTCTGAGAGAAATTAACGTAGAGACTTTTCCCTTATAGCGTTGGAAAGCTTATTAAATTTTGAAAAAAATGATACCTATTTGAATGAGATTGCTTAAATAGGTTTAAATATATCATGTTACAAAGTTGAAAAAATAATTGTTTTTTTTGCTTATTTCCTACCTTGACTTTAACCTCTTGCATGGTCCAGGAAAATTGACGAAAAAAATTGTCCTTTAACATAATTATTCCTTGAAATCTAAGCTTTCCATTGATTCCAAGAACAATAAAAAATGTTGACGGGTTTGCCAGTAATTGAAAAAAAAGGACGAGCGTGCACGAAAAAAAATTCGACCGTCAATCGCTCGATTTTCCCGTCTCGCTGCCTCTTTCGTTCGTGCGCCAGGGCCGAAACATAGGATTTTGATTAGGCGCTTTCCGGGCACCATTAATTTCATTATTTTTGCCTTTTTGTGAACATAAATTATTTGTATAACGCGAAAGATATCATAATTGTGTTATAAGTTAATTATACAGTTATTAAAATTAAATAAATGTAATAAAAATTATACATTTTATTATTAAAAAATTCAATTTGACCAACAAGGTTTTTGATTCTTAATAATAAATTGATTAAGGATTATAAATATATTTTAATTTTTACAAAACTTTAATTGTATAATTATTTTATTTATGATTGATTAAAAAATTAATATCTCTATGTATGTGAAATATTTTAATAATGAAATATATAAGTTTTATTACATTTATTTAATTTTAATAACTGTATAATTAACTTATAACACAATTATGATATCTTTCGCGTTATACAAATAATTTATGTTCACAAAAAGGCAAAAATAATGAAATTAATGGTGCCCGGAAAACGCCTAATCAAAATCCTATGTTTCGGCCCTGGCGCACGAACGAAAGAGGCAGCGAGACGGGAAAATCGAGCGATTGACGGTCGAATTTTTTTTCGTGCACGCTCGTCCTTTTTTTTCAATTACTGGCAAACCCGTCAACATTTTTTATTGTTCTTGGAATCAATGGAAAGCTTAGATTTCAAAGAATAATTGTGTTAAAGGACAATTTTTTTCGTCGATTTTCCTGGACCATGCAAGAGGTTAAAGTCAAGGTAGGAAATAAGCAAAAAATTACAATTATTTTTTCAACTTTGTAACATGATATATTTAAACCTATTTAAGCAATCTCATTTAAATAGGTATCATTTTTTTCGAAATTTAATAAGCTTTCCAACGCTATAAGGGAAAAGTCTCTACGTTAATTTCTCTCAGAGTTATCTTTATTTTCACGCGAGTATGTTTTTCAATGACTCGCGGTGTAAGCGTTCGCACAATTTCGGACGGTAGTGTAGATGTTCTGGGAATTTATACAGCAAGAACAACTACAGTGTACTCGAGATGACCTAAAAATGAGGTGTTTGAACGCTTTGCTGTTAATGTATGATTATTTTTCACTAATCGATTCAAAAGTTTCTAATTATTCAATTCGGTTTGGTTTTCTCTTTAATCAAACTAACAAGTTTCAAGTCAAGATTTTTAATTGGTTAGTTTGTATCAAATATTTTTTAGACTCGGTTTTTGCACACCTCTAGAACAAATGTTATAGGAATTATGCAAATTTTATGTTTTTTCAGAACAAGCCATTTTGGAAATGTTATCAAGTATGACAAGTGCAGCATTCTTTGGAGCCAGGAAGCCCCAAGAAAAAAGAGATCGAAATAGTTTGGTACTCGAAATTTTTTCAATAAGTAGTAAAAAAACATTTTTTTTGCAATTTTCCATAATATGTACTTATTATTTTATTAAACTTAGGGTCATTTGGGGAAAATGTAAACAAGGGGTAAATGTAAACAGCAGATATTGCAGCTTAATTTACAGATTTAAAATTAAGTTCGACCCCAATATTTTAACCTCAGCTCACCTGCAACAGGTTCTGAGTATTGCCAATTTTTTTTTTCGACAATTGTCAAAGCCATACTCCAATTTGTCGCTTAATGCATGAAAGATTGAAAATCAAAGTTTTACTGTTTCAGTATTTTGTCTCGCATTTGAATAAAAATGAACTAAAAATTCAAACTAAAAATTTCTAATTATTCCTTATGAATCCCTTAACAAAAGCTGAATTTGATTTTTTAATTTCGTCAATTCAGTTAATAGATAATTAAGTCTTTACATTTACCCCGAGACCTGCATAGTATAGACCTGCATAGTATTGCATAGTGCATTTACGTGTTTAAAATATTGGAAAGCGATTCTTCACGATTGGTGAATAAAACTCAGGTACGTAGGAATCCTAGAATAAGAGTGAGTGATTGATTGATTGATGGATTGATTGATGGATTGATTGGTTGATTGATTGGACGATTGATTTATGGATTGGTTGATTGAGTAATTGGTGGATTGAATGGTGGATTGGATTGATTGGTTGATTGGATAATTGATTTATAGATTGGTTGATTGAGTGGTTGATTGGTGGATTGCTTGATTGATTGACTGATTGATTGATTGGTGGATTGATTGGATGATTGAGTGATTGATTGGTGGATAGATTGGTTGCTTGGATGATTGATTTAGAGATTGGTTGATTGAGTGATTGATTGGTGGATTGATTGGATGATTGATTTATGGATTGGTTGATTGATTGATCTAGCATTCTCATCAGTAATTATGATCACAATTGTCATATAAAATATTGAACTGATTTTGTAATGGATAAGATTAACATTGTTAAACTAATATTAATACTAATTCTAATATACGTTTTTCTATATCTTGGAATTTAAATACTTAGATTACTTTCTCCCTAGACCTTTTAAAAAAATTATTATTGAAATTTTAGAAAGTTTATAAATTTATGTTTTATAAAGAGGAAATATTACGCACTATATTAATTGTGTTGATATTCATATTTTCAAAATGTCAGTGGGTAGAGAAATTTAGTCCAATTTGATCAATTTTTAAAAACCTCTTTCGCGATATTGAATCCGCTATTTCGAAAATTTTAAATCTGACTTCAGATTCGTATTCAGCGACCTCGAAAACCTCCGAGTAGCGAGATTTAAGCAAATTTTATCAATTTTTAAAAATATTTTTAGGTTCATCCGCCATATTGGATCCGCCATTTTAAAAATTTTAAATTTGTCTTCAAATTCGTATTCAGTGACCTCAAAAACCCCCGAGTAGCGAGATTCAAGCAAATTTGATCAATTTTTAACAATATTTTTATGTTTGTCCGCCATTTTGGATCCGCCATTTTGAAATTTAAAAATTCGATTTTAGAATATTATTCAGCAACCTTAAAAACTTATTTTCACCAAGTTGAATGAAAATCTATTAAAATTTATTGAAGTTATTCAAGTTTTTACATTACTAGTTTTGTTATGGTAATGATTGCTTATTTTATATGTTGCATATCAATCAATTGGTTCAATTATTTTACATCTACCAAGAATTTTTTTTCAGTTTTTACATCCCTTTACACAGTAGTATACTTGGGATAACTTTTTTCTTAAACCTCTTTAAACTACAGGGGTGTTTACATTTACCCCGAATTTTGGGAAAATTTCAAAATCTCGGGGTAAATGTAAACAGTCAGTTTTAAGCGATTCAAGTTGATCAATATTTTTTTGTACCTCATAAAATGTTTCTAGGGAAGTGAAGTAACAAGTTCATGCAGTAGAAAGCCGGAAGTATTGCTTTTTAAAATAAAAAACTTATGTTATAGTCGAAACTAAGCAAATCCGTTTACATTTACCCCAAATGACCCTAATTTAATTTGGTTTATAGAAATAAATAAATATTAATAAAATTTTAAGTAAAAGAAATAAACTTATAATCGTACATAATCATTCTAGGAAAAAACATTGCTCAACACTACTTTACCTGTGGCTGCAGATCCACCACGACTGATAGCGATAGGAGATCCACGAAAAGGTGGCCTCAAAACGCATATATATGTAGATCAAAAAGCAATGTACACAGGACCTGTCGTAGAGGCATTAACACAAATTGTGGCACTCTACTATGTGTTTCATATTGCTCCATCGACGGACTTAAGAGCAGCGTTTTCGTTCATTTTTGGGATCTTGATGCAAGAAGCAGCTCAAAAGGAGTACAAACGGTACAAATCTATCATTAAAGCCTTGGAAACAATTCAGAGACCATTAGACTAGGCGAAACCTTAGATTTGAGACTAAAGACTCATCGACTTCAGAGATTTGATAAAAAGTAATCTTTGGATAAACAACTAATCATAATGTTGACACGAATTTTGTTATTTTATTGTTTTAAATTATTAATAATATTATTCCATTTTCTGATAAAAAACTTGTTTCTTTTAGAAAAAAAATTCAAATTCAATTGTTATTTCAAATGAAATTATGTATTTTTGACTACATGTGTATAACTTGTTAAAACGGAATGTTGAGAATTTTCAATAAATATAAAAATTGTTCTGTTTAACCGATTGATGTCCGACTCTAGTTTCTATTCTAGAAAGTCATGTAAATAAAGATAATAAACTCTAATTAATAATATTTAATTTATAGTTGAAGACGGACTTGAATTGCACAATAGAAAAATTGAGAGACAAGCTATTTAAAACAAAGGACACTATTCAGCCAATGATTTTCGTCGTTGGACCATTAATCAAAATTCAAAAGGCTGTCGTAGTTGTAGATGAACAGCACTACGCATTCGATTTACAAATTAACGAAAAAACTGAAAAATCAGGTTGAAAAGCTCTGGACTTAGCTTTTAAAGTATTTTTCGTGCTTCAGTGTCATTATCCGAAAACCTCATCGTCACTGTGGCATTTTATTCAAAGCAGTGGATACGATTTATCACTTGCAGGTGATAAATCAAATACATCAGTAAAAATACAAATAGGATTGGTGAAGCATGCATTAAGTCTACCAAAACAAGATTAAGTTTTTCGTTCTTTCGTTTTAAAATTATTTTCTTAAAATGTTCGCCTTTACATGTTCAACGTATAAATTCTCATTTGATAACAATAATAAGTTAATAAGACATGTTAATTTAACACATTCTCAGTTAACACGGTTCACGTGTTCAGAAAAGTTTTGTCAAAAATCATTTTCTTTAGTTGAATCGTTTTTAAAACACAGGCGAATGAAACGCTTTATCTAATAACGATATATCTCATTTTGAAGCATCTTCACTCGTAAAAGATGTTATTACGGTTTCAGAAAGCGACGAAATATTTTATGATCTTTCTTTGGAATCCGAAAGCGAATCATCTTCAGATGAAGAATTTATTTTAAATAATTCGAATTACAAGGATGTTTCTAATATAGTTCAAGAAGTTTCACGAGTAAAATAACAAAGTTTTGAATCGGAAGTACAGTTTGCTAGTAAATACTTCCAGTGTTCAGATATATCGAGAAAAAGAGTTTCAGAGCTTATGTCAGATAATAAGTAAGTAAGTAAGTAAATAAGTTAATCGAGTAAGTAAGTTAATCGAATGTACTATTAACAATGTTGAACATGAAGTCTGCAATCGTTTGGAAAGTTTAGGTGTCAATGAAAAATGTGTTGCCGAAGTCAAAGATGTTTTTACACACCCAGTAAAAAATAAAAGATACAAGAAAAGTGGATTCCGGTTACAAGCTCAATAGCTGGTAAACGAATCCGTGAGAATCTCGGATACAAGCACTTTTCCGTATCCGAAATGCTCATAAGCTTGTAAACGCACTGAAACGAACGACTTTTGTAGGGCTTTTAATCAAGAAAAACAAGTAAATGAATGCAGAAACGTTGGGAAATTAAATTAGAAGCAAAAATAAATAATTATTTATTAAAGAAACGTACACTTAAACAAAAAACAATTATTGTTACTAATTCTAACTTCTGCATTAAAAACATTGTGAAAGCAGTGTTTTGTTGGTGATTTTACCTTGTTATTCGGAAAATATGGTTTTCTATCTTACCGACATTGGATATTAATTTAACGCTGTTTTTTCGATTTTCTAATTTCAAAAGCAATTCAAAATAATCAAAATGTTATTAAACATAATTAAGTGCTTATTTTTAATTTCCTTTACCACTTTTTATTAAATAATTTTGGATTTCTATTGAAATTGAAAATTCGACAAAACCTGCGTTAAATTAATATCCAATGTCGGTAAGATAGAAAACCATATTTTCCCAATAACAAGGTAAAATTACCAAGAAAACACTGTTTTCCCAATGTTTTTAACGCAGGGGTTAGAATTAGTAAGAATAATTGTTTTATGTTTAAATGTATGTTTCTTTAATAAAGAATCATTTATTTTTGCTACTACCCAGATAACAAAATGATATGAATATGCGTCGCATATTGCTTGCATTTATGACGCTTCTTTTCGCACACGTGCCTTCACTGGTGCAGACAGATGCGTCCTCAATTGAGATGCATTACGCTCGCATGCCATGAAGTTGCACACATGAGGGTGAAATGCGAGTCTCGTTTATTTTTTGCAATACATACAGTGAAAAATATAATATCAATAAATATGAAACTGTAGCTTAATTTAAAAATATTTTATTAAAACTTTTATTTTAAAAACATGTATTTTTGGTTTAGTAATACAATCGCTTAAAAGAAAAAATTGAAAACTTAGGTAACTAATAAAATCCTAATAAAGACTTAATAATACTAATATTCTTTAAAGTTTTAGTTGTAATAATTAAATTTTTCAAAATATAAATCTTTGTCTAAAGCTCGTCATCTCCAAATGACGAGTCATTCTCTGAATTACCCTCTGAATTATCGTCCGATTCGCTTCTTTGGGTATCTTCTAACTCACTGATCATCCTTTTCAACTCTTCATTATTGAGATCATCACCATTTTCTTCGATGTCTTTTTTCTTCAAGTTGCAAAACCTTTGTTTCGTTGATCGCAGAACCTCCAACATTTCTGATTTATAATTTAATTTGTCATCTGGACCACTAAAATGCTTGCATTTTCTGGCTGCCTCTAAAAAGAAAAGAAAATTTTAATCATTTAATATATTTAAATTTGTTTATTGTTATTCGCGTAAAAAATACTTACGATACAGAGTATTTGATACCCTTGTGTCACCGAACTTTTGATACTTCTTTCCACCCAGGCATGAAAATTTGCAAACTAGTTCGTCAGTCATAGTCTCTTTTAAAACGCAGTTTAAAAATTGTCTTAGTTTTGACCCTCCCAAACAAACCAAATGATTAAACTAAAAAAAATTTGTCTGATAAGGAAAAAAGTTCTTTCTGAGCCCAGGCGATTATATAAATGGAGATAAATTACATATATTTATTAGTTTTGGACTTCAAAAACAACCTCTTTCACTTTGGTCGTATTTAAAATGCAACAAATTTGCGATGAAAGTTACACATCTTTTATTATTATTAAAACTTCGATGATTTCATTCTATATGTAAATTTCATTACTAAAGTTGCACTTTCAATAAAAAATGCTTAAACAAAATATGTCGAGGTTGGAAAAAATGAACTCTGGTTATTTTTAGGCGACCAAATTGAAAGAGGTTGTTATTGAGGTCCAAAGCCAGAGTGGTTTGATTAGCTGTCAGATATCGATATTAATATGTATATTAATTTAATATATAGATAAATGAAAAAATATGTAGTTAATGAAAATAAGCATATATTGCTCAGATAAATGTATTTTGTGTAAATGAAAGAGTAAGGAATGCTTTCGACTGTGTTTATATTTTATAAACCAAAAGTTACCAAGATTTGGCGTTTTTCAATATTGTCCTCTGCATTCAATTCTTCAAATTCTTTAATGGTTTTCAACGGGAACCCAAGCAGAGGTTGAAAAAGTCTTTCAGAAAATACATTGCCACCCATTTCCTTATTTTGTGAAAGTTCTGTTAAAATTCGACCTTGATTTGCAATTATTATTTCATTTTGTTGTTCCAAAATTCTGAAATTTAATTAGACATATAAAAATAATAATAATAATTTGACACGTTCCTAGATAAGTATATTTTTATATCTCTATAACCTATGTAACTTTAAATCTGAGAATAAAAAAGAAATATGGAATTATAATTTCTGTTCCGTTTTAATTGAAAAAATTAAATGTTATATACTAAGGAAGATATTATTTTTTATATATTTTGTTTTTAACATAAGTTAAAAATTTTAAATGAAATTATATAATTAAGTATTTTAAAATTATTTTCTACTTGACTTACTCTAATTTCTGCAGATTCAAGTCTAATTTCTGGTGCAAACTATTAATTTCCAAAGATTGGCAAAGATCAAAGACTTCGTCGAAATTATTATGGTTATCTAAAGATGGTTCTTTAGAACAATTTGATTGAAGTTGAATTTCACTGACGAAAACAGATGAATTTACTTCTTTCGTTGCAGAATTCTTGAAATTAGTTTCAGATTCTTCCACCGTCTTTTCTACAAATGCAGCAGGATTAACAACGGACTTCTCCTTGTCTATGTTACTGGAATAAAGTAAATGAAATATTTAATTTAAAACAGACTAATTGTTTAAAGTTGTATATAACATTTTGTTTTAATTTCGTTCTAATTTGTTTTTTAAATATATAAATTAAAAAATATTTTTCTTACGAATTTTCATTCAGAGTATGATTAGAAGAGACTGAAATCCGAGAACTGCAAGCTGTAATAACCGACGTCGACTTTGAATTCTCATTCTGTGTTTCTAGTAATTTATGATTTACAGTATCGACCTTTCTTTTTTCTTCAATTTCTTTAAGGCGTGTCTTCAAAATTTGCAACTGATTTTTAATATTTCCAGAAGACTTAATCTTTTTTAATTGCGGACGATCATCCTCGGAAGACGTTGGCAAATGCCGTTTTGGAGTTTTAATTTGTCTTCCTTTGCTTGTTACTTTTACTTCTTTTGTGGATTTTTTGCGAGAATTTTTCATGATGAACTTAAAAAAACGATAATTTATATTGTTAATAATTCCAAATTGCAATAAGTTTATTATAGTAATAGATACATTTTGGACCTCCAGTGGGCACGGACACATAAGCTGACTTAAAGACGTCTTTAGGACATTTTCTTTAAGGGAAGATATTTTGATATGAAATAACCCTTGTTTTTTACTTTTCACAAAAATATTTGATTTCTAAGATTGGAAATATTTATCTTTAAAATCAAGTGATGAGTTTTTGTTATAAAACTAGATTTTGATCCACAAAAATCTTAATTACTTTCTTTAAAGTACTTAAAAAAGGTAATCTTCAAAAATTTTAATTTTCGAATTCATATTCTTTTTAATAAAAAATTCTATCCATGTAAATGTTAAGCACCTGCATTTACTCTCTTTGAGACGGTAACATTTTAGAATTTAAGGAAAACTTTGTTAAGTCAATACTTAGTTTTTTATTATTCTCAATAAACCGTCACTTCCAAAAATTCATTTTTATATTTATCTGATCTCTAGTTCGTGGAAATTTGTGTTAAATTTTTTGTTTTATTCTGATAAAATATGTTTCTAATGTAAGATTATTGAAATAAAAAATTAATTTCACTTTAATTCATTACTTACTCGCTTAAGGGCGATTAATACCTTTTAGATAATTTCAATAATGAATGTCTACATTGCCGGTCACTTCCAATGGTGATAACAATGAAGCACAAATATATTGGTTTTCTAATACAATTTCTTGCCGTCCTTCTATATTACTCCATTTTGGCATTA